GACGTGCAGCTTCCTGGAGATGAGATAACATCGTCGATCTTGCATCGGGGAATCCTTTCGGAGAGATAGGCCTGGCTCCATTTTATAATGGAGGGGTCAAAGCCAAACTTGTATAATTTCGAGATGAGTAGATTATGGTTCACTCTATCAAATGCTTTCGTGAAGTCATAATAAATGCAGTGCACTTGCTTCTTGCTCGATAGGGCCATGCCCCAGTCTTGCATCACAGTGAGTAATTGGGAATTGGTTGACCTCCCCTTCATAAAACCATGTTGATTTTCGTCGATGAGACCATTCAAAGCGAGGTGGGTATGCATCGCATCAACGAGTATTCTTCCCATAATCAGGCACGGGATCACAGCCTGGGCAATGGGGCTATAGATGCCCAGTTCCTTCTTGGCGCCTTTCTCGCGGATCGGTGTGACGAGCGATACCAGAAAAGTTGAGGAACTTCACCATTATGTAGCGATCCGGAGAAAATGAGTGCGAGGGGCTCACATAGAACATCGGCCCATCTCCTGAAGAAGATCGGGGGAAGTCCCTCAGGGGTAACCGAGCTTTTCGAAGAGGTGGCAAGCAGTCTCTCGTAGACCGCGTGAGGGGAGAGATCGATATGCGGACGTCGAGCCTGACTTTCTTGAATGACCAACGGGATTTTTTTGAGTGTCGTATACCGATAGGAAGTACCGACGAAATGCTCCCTCTTGGTTGTCTGCAACAGGACCCAATTTTCAGCGATAGGACCAATGCTGTCTGTAATTTCCAGCCTCGAGTTCGCGTAGCGATACAGCTTGCCTACGCTTTTGGTAGATAGAGTCGACTCCTGTAGAATCCTTGGCGCCGGGATGCTTTGTCCAACTGACGTCGGAGCCGCTCCCGTTCGCCCAAGGGAGCAGTGGTGAGACGTTCAGCAAGCAGCCCGACGGGTCTGTCGACCGCCGAACCCCGATTCTGCCATGGCGGAACGTGAAGAGAGCATGAGAGGTAAAGCTTCTCCAGCAAGTGGGTGTACATACCTTCCACATTGAAGCAGCCAGAGAAAAATAATCTCCAGTTGGTCGCTGCCAGTGTGCATCCGATCGACACATAATCAGCTCCCTTGGAGTCGAGCTCCGAGCGCGGAGTCGGGGGTGCCCCATAGGCGAGCGAGATATCAAACCGGAGCGCGAGATGTTTTTTTTTTATCGGGGCGATGCCCACAGTCAGGTTGCAGGCCAGATCGGGAGATAATGTCAAGAGAAGATCCAGTGTGTTGAGACTCGCGGGGCGAGTGACACCGTGGACCAGTTGAGTTAGAGAGTTCCTCTCACTCACCGTTACCTATAGAGTCCCGGGACTTTCCTATCAATGTGCTGCTCTGCAAGTGAGTACCATGCGAGCATAGGTCCACCTCGGCCTGCTCCGAGAGCCGATTGCCCAGGCAAGCATGGATGTCGTCAGTTCTTCCATCCCCCTTCTCGGGACGGAAGTTTCCGCTCTGCGAACGGGTTTCCACTCATTCTCCCACACTCGGTTCATTCGGAAACCTGGAACCGGTTGCGGCGTCAAGAGGTATATCGTATTGGCGAGAAGCTGATCTCGCGGCTTGCTTGAACCCGAATCTTCCGTCAGGCGCTTGTCCGCCAAGAGCTCATCACACTGAATGACCTGTGCACCACTAACAGCATGAGTATATTATACAACACCATCATGCTGAGCGCCAATGGATACATCACCCATGAGCCGTAGGAAGATCGTCCGACGTACCTGAAATCGCGATAAGTCGACTTGAGGCGTCAAATATCCAAAAACTCGGCTATACTATCCTTCGGTGGCAGACCCCTAATGTTTGTGATGCCGCCGTAAAGAGAAGTGTCAAAGGTCTGGGATCCTTCTGGATCTGACTGCCAGAAAAAGCGACTTCAGACGCGACTGTCCACTGCAGTCTTTAAGCACATCGACAAGGATGATCCTCGTCTGTTGGGGCTTGACCTTGCGTATTTGAGGAGCCGCAGTCAAAAAGATGAAGCGCCTGCCCTGAAATCGTCATGTTCGCACAGCCGAACTTACGCGAGGACGGATCCTTGTCGAGAATGGCTGGCGATTCTCCGAATCATCGATCTCTCGGGGGAAAACATAGCCGGCTGTGGCTCCAGTCAATACCCCTAATTCGACTCGCCGGGCTATATCTGAAGGGTCGTGTCGCATATCGTTTCCATGTCAGCATATCGTTCGAGCCTTGAGACCGACCTGTAGTTTTGAAGAGGGACATCTCTTGCCGCATCGAACATCATAGAGCCGTCGCTGATTCGTAAAGAAGAATCCCGCAAATTACTCCTCAGCGACACGTTTCACGATGCAGTGTCATAAATCACTGCTGCCTAGGAGACGACCGATCATAAATCATAAATAATAAACGCGGACAGATGGACAACATTGCTCTTGCTCCATTCAAACGGCTGTCGATCAAGTGTGATATTTTAAATAGGTGCGATGGATTCACTAAGCGCGGGCTGTCTATGATGCAGGAAAGAAAGGGCAGAAGATTTCGGTGCGCGGAGCTCACATAAGAAGCGTCTTCGTGATGTTCCATGCTGATGACTACGTCGGATACAACGATCACGAGCGAGCGTGTCTGGAAAAACTATACTCTAGTTTTCCCGCTGCTTGTGAGCGGCTTCTCCAATAGTTAGTCAGCGTCGGAGTAATCGCAGGATAGCCTTAATCGGCTTGAGCTGCTGGAACTATGTTGGAAGCTTTCTGGCTTGCTCGTGGCGTTATTTTTCGTGAGCCCCGTTCCGGGCTGCCTCTATCGCTAGAAGCTCAGCTGTGCAGTCAAATGACTCATCAGATGCTCAATCCAATCGGGTGCTCTGGGTTCTCGGTCGATATTTAGATTGAAGTAATACGAGGTTGTCAGGATAGTGCGGGGTCTTATCTTCCAATCGAATCAATCCGGTGAGCAGCGAGCAAGTCTTCGGAGAGACGACGCGCTCTGACTATTGTGAGCTGGTTCAGTTCAGAATCAAACGCTGTTGGGCGCTGGGGCTTCGCGTGACGATCGATATAGCAAGATTTCCGAGCATCGGAATCCGTTCTGTAGCAAAGATCGCCGAACAAGTAGCCGTTGTCTCATTGGTCGAATGTCGCTTTGGCCGCGAGACCTTTGAAATAGCCATCGAAACCTCACTTGGATCCTGAGAGATGCAGTAGCAGCAGGTTGTCCGATTCGCTATCTCGCAGCCACCGTAGCGCAGGACAAGCTCAACATAATCTACATTCAGAAACATTCGGCGAGAGAGTCTCTGTGATCCGCGTGGCGTAGTTCCCGGAGCTCCGGATGCAAGATCCACGATCGCTTAACGACGCCCAATGAGGAGATTTTCCTGGCAGCAACTAGATTCAAGCCGAGGAACCTGTCGCCTGTCGAGTTTTTCTCGGTCTGAATCCTCGGCGGTGAAGCTGAAAGATTTCGGTAAGTGCTTCGTAGGAGATGATGCACAGCGGTTCTAGATCCATTCCGGAGAAAACATCGTATCAACCCCAAGCTCATACCTATGGGAACGAACTCCTCCGAGTGAGCTATTCGTCGGATCCGTGCCGAAGAGGATGGATTCCCGAAGCGGAGCGCTGGAAAACTTGCGAGGGGTCTATGGGGAACTTAAAGCTTCCACGATGTCGGCAGCCTTCGCTCTCCGGAGCGAGACTGGTGCTCTCCTTCGTGTGAGCACAGCAATCGGGGCAAGCAAAATAGATGCGCACTTATCCGGAAGCTCCCCGATACTAGTCGGGGACTAATTCATTCAATAATTGACGTCATTCCAAGCGTACCTATGGTCGAGATCTCGAAGAACGAGGCAGAGTCGCTACGTCGAGTCGCCATTCCGGGAGTTCCTCGATCTTCGCCGCGGAGACAGAAGAACACGACATCCCACACCTATTGACGAATCATGAAGGGAGATTTCCGATCGCTCAGAGTATCTAGGTTGCGGTCCCCCGTATCCATCCCGTAGGACCATTAATCCGCTCCGTCAATTGGCTAGGAACCCACTAGGGGAACCAGGGCCAAGTTGAGCTTGGATCGGTGAGCGACCCATACATGGAGGAGTTCACGACCCGTTCATCAGGAATTCTGTCCGATTCGAGCGAGATATTTTCGGAGATTCGAGTCCGTCAGCAGCGTTGGGGTGGAGTCAATACTGGTCAAGAATCGAGAGATAGGTTCCTGAACACTTCCAGGGAACAGCGAGTCCGCAGTCGGCTTCTTCGTGTTTCCCTCTCCTCTCTGTCGATGAGTACGGGCTCCGGCGGACAATGTATTCTCGGTCGACCTGTTTCGATCAGACGCTCGCCCATTGGAGGTTATGTGGACCGGCTGGCGCTTCCGGGCGAAGTGAGAAGAGACTCCTTCATTTTCTGTAATGATCATCTCTTCTCTCGATTACTGGCGGAACGCCAAGTCCTCCCTTCTCGCGCCAGGCCTGGACGAACTTGGGAGAAGTTCTCCGTATTGTGGCTCATTTTTCCGATTCCCATCGAGATCGTTGTCTCAATTGACTGTCCGGCTCCCACCGCAACAAGACTCGATCGACGAAAAAAGCCTCCAAGTATCGTCCCGCTGCTTCGGCTTAGGAGGAACTCAGCTTGTCGGTCGTATGATACACGTGGGCTTTTTTCATAGAATCACCGTGCTATCCTGAGTTCGCCAACATTTTTCGGAGATAATCGCTTTGTTTTCGCTGGGTATTGTATTGTTGACGCTTGTCGTTGACGCTGGCTATGCGAAAACGAGTTGACCTTGGCGGAAATGTCCAGTGGCGAGTCACCGTCTCTTTTCGTCCACAGAGAAGTACTGTGCTCATTCTTTTCTCGCTGTGGGGTATTTCCCGCTGCTTGAAGCTCCCGTCACCAGATGGCGCCGGTAACGTTTCCACGCGTGTATAAAACAAGAAAATAAAATCATGAACACCATTTGAACTTTGTCCGTCAAACATAGTGTGACTTCTCGGCATTCGGGCGCGCGGGACTGCCTGGTGTCTGGGATTTTCGTTTGGATCTCGGTGAATTTCACCCTCACCGAGCATGAAGGTGAGCGAGCTTATCCGCAGAGGAACACAATCGCATCCAGAAACCGCGCGGAAATCACCATCTTCTGACGGTTTGAAGTGTGCCCTGCGTTGAATTCCACGCATCGCAGGAATGCAGCGACGAACTTCCTTGATGGGCGCAGATTCTGACAGAATGAGTGGCATTCGACCCGATGTCTCATAGATCTCTTTGAACTATATTCTATGTCTCGGAGGGTTCTCATGTACCTTGAGTAACATGGATGGAGCACGTTACGTTGAATTTAGCGAGTCTCTTTCCAGCAGTGCATTGTCTTCTGTTCCCTCTTGGCCTCCGTGCTGGCTCGATCGAATGACGGTTTCAGCAGTGTATCTAAAACGGAAGACGTGAGTTCGACCACACCAGGCGATCCTTCAGCGCGGTCATATAGCCACATTTCAGTACATAGCCAGGTATTACGTACACTCACTCGAGTCTCGATCGCCTTGCTGTAGGGTCGAGGAGGCTATCGATATGAGTACGACATAACTGACTGGGATACGAACCGCAAGAGATGGGAAGAGACCGATGCTGACAATAATCGAAGAGGTGGATACCAAATCGTCGATGTAGACGGTCAGGTGCGCCAAGTGGAATATCAAGCGGATAAGGACGGATTCCGAGCGACCATTAGGACAAACGAGCCAGGGACGCAGCCCGGTGAAGTGGGAGGCGCGATCTTCACTAATGATGTTCAAGACATCATTCAAAGCACCAGAGGAATACTGCAAAACACCGGCCACGTGCAGAAGCAGAAGGTGAATATACAGAGAAAACGCTGATGGCGACGCGTCGACAGTCACCAGTAGATGCGTCTGATTGAGCAATAATTCTATCAGCGAGAAGAAGCGCTCGGCGACAAAAACACGTAGGTATTCCGAAGGTTCCATTACGGATCGATTCTGTTCATTTGACATTGCAGAAATTGGGGACTTATCCTGATAATTTCGCCGCTGAACCAATCAGACCGGTGGCTCCAGGTGCTCAAGTGCTCAAACACCACGCAGGTCAAGGACCTCATTTTGACGCTGTGGCACCGATTGAGCCGAGTCAAGCCCCTCAAGCCGGGAGGAAGCCTATCGTACCTCCATACCAAGTCGCTAGAGGTCCCATCGGACCATCGTTCACTGCCTCTCGAGAAGTCGGACCCGTGGGCCCAACATTCTCGTCACAAGGTGGGAGAGGTCCCATAGGACCGTCATTCACCGCCTCGCAAGGTGACGGGCCTGTGGGTCCCTCTTTCACATCCTATGGGGGGAAAGGACCCGTCGGACCTTCATTCACCGCAACTGAGGGGGACGGTCCAGTTGGTCCAACTTTCGTTTCTCACGGAGGGAAAGGCGCGGTCGGCCCGTCATTCACCGCCACTCAAGGTGCCGGACCTGTGGGCCCAACATTCTCGTCACATGCTGGCAGAGGTCCCATAGGACCGTCATTCGGCGCGCATGGGGGAGAGAGTCCTACAGGACCTAGCTTCGCGGTGGACGGAGGCCGTGGTCCTTCAGGACCTTCCTTCACTGCGACCGGAATAGGAGGGCCTGGACCCTCTCTGTCTCGACCAGGGATCGAAGCACCCCGACGCCCCTCTTCCAGTGGTGCGAGCGGACCAGAAGGACAAGGTTCCCTATACCCCGGTGGTAATCGACCAGTCGGACCGTCATTCACTGCATTCGGCGGCAGCAAGCCCGCTAGACCGCTGTCAGGTCCCAACGGTGCTGGCGGTGCACCGTCCTACAGCGGACCGATCAGGCGGCCCCAGAAAACGATTTATGATCCATCGCAGTCCTTCGAGACTCCCGGAGTACCATTGACTCCGTCAAGGGTTCCTGCTTATACACCGGACATGGTTTGTTGAAATTCCTTATCCCAGAAAACTTCACCGTCTGTCGAGAGGTCCCAATGAGAATGAGGTGTTATACTCTGCACTTTACTTCCAGGACGTGGAATGGGATGGACCGACTGTTCCGCCTCCGGCGTCTCGGCAACGGGCAGCTTACCAGCCTACGGGGAGGATTCCGTCGGCTTCGAATGTAGATCCAGTAGTCGTGAGATTCGATGGGGCAGCCACGAAGAGCTTCAGCTGGAGTAGGGGAACATCAATTGATGGCTCCTCTTGGTAATCAGGATACTCGCTCCTCCTTTGAGATTCGGGTTGCCCTTGATCCTGGATATTTATTGTGATATACGCCTAATATATGTATTTATCGGGAGCTCCGACTCATTTTTCTGACGATTGAGATTTAATCGTGATAATCCGAGCTCATCATGACATATTTTTGTTAGCCCGGCTTGTTCGCGGATCGAAATTCAGTTGATCCTGAATATTTATTGCGATATGGTGACATGATAAAAGCTGAATGAGCGTTTTAACTGGGAGTTCCGACTCATTGAGCCTCCATCATCGGAATCCATGGAAACAATATCATCTTACACTTCTGATTGATGAGCAGCAAATCGAAGGGCCGACACGCGACGCACCGGGACACTCCGGGCCGGATCTTCAACCTAATTTTCGGAAGGTGCTACATCCCGAAATATTTGAGTTCCTGCTCCCGCCTCGCGGTCCTGAGGGAAAGCCTCGTTCGGTTAGCCAATCGATCCTTCGTTCAATCCATCAACACGAAAGCGTACCTGATTCTGATGAGAACTCGGACTACGCTCCGTCCACCCAATCAGAGCCAGCGGGATCTTGACTCCTGCCCGTGAAGAGTCGAGGCCGAAGGAAACCCAAAAGACCACGAGGTCGGAGCTGACAGTCTCTGAACCCCGGATGTAGCTTCCAATCACGGTCGAGACTGCATGTCGCAGTTGCTTCTCGTCGAACTTGCTACGATTTTCGACCGAGACATCCGCGTACGTATCATCGAAGTGGAAAATTGCTCGCATCGCCGTCCTCCTCTTCGGGAGCAAACAAACTTGAGATTCCTCTCCGAGTTTCTGGGCTCCGTCCGGGAATCAGAAAACAGAATTGAGCTCCACCCCCTTGAGCTTCATAGGGAGCCTGCCCTGTGAAGGAGCGGGAAGTTTCGAGCGGAGCACAATATCGAGGGCCTACTCTTTCCAATTGACTACAGGGTAGTTCTGGACAATGATCAATGATCACTCTTCATGTTCAGTAGTGTCCTGTTGGTCTGAGTTCTATCAAGGTTGATTGAGAAGATGTCGTTTTCGAAAGCGGCGGGACTGAGAGATTGATAGCTCTTGTCATCCTTGAATCAGGGAGGAGAATCAGATCGCGACTTTTTCCAACAGGATTCATGGTTGTGAGTTCCTATTGTGGTCATCCTCGTATGAAGTTTAGAGCTGTGACCACCTTCTGTAATGCCTTCGCGGTCGGATTCAAAGCGACGACGCCTGCGGCTGCGAGCATTCCTGCCGATCGCCTGCCTCCCCCGAGATCCTTGAGCGAGCTTCGCAGAGAGTCCGATAGCGCGCTGTTTGAAGAAGTCTGCTGGGCCTGCGAGTGATGAGCCGACCGGAGCTCCGAGACCTTTCGAAATGAACGTCATCACACTGTCCAGATGCCGGGTCAGACTCTCACGCTCAGCGGTACCCCTCAATTCCGTCATCATTTGCGTCTCTCCCGAAGACGGGTAGGCACTTATGCCATAGACCCGTATTTCGTTCCAGAGGTGTCTTAATCGTTCCGAGACATCTTCCCGTGAACGGTCAAGTGCTGTCCTTTCTTGTACGGAACGCGTACGGTCCAAGCCAACAGGAAGGAGCAGGGAGTCCAATGTTCAAACTGATCATCCACCCTACAGGTGTCGACCCGATTTACAGCAAAGCATGATCCTCGGTGCGGGAGGAGACTCTTCCGGAGCACCACTCCCGGCGTTCTTGAAATTCAGTCGCCCTACGACTCCTCGCTCCTTGATTCGCTTGAGAAGTCTGGAAGACTGGAGGATGATCCGCAATGATCCGGCGCAGGCCGATCCTCCCGGCAGCGAGTTGTCCGGCATCGAGTTGTCCGGCATCGAGTTGTCCGGCATCGAGTTGTCCGGCATCAAGTTGTCTCTCGGCATCGAGTTGTCCGGCATCGAATTGTCATGTACCGCCCAGGGGACAGAATGGGACGCCGAACTGTACCTTCTGACGCGTGAGGTCCTGTGAGTAGTAATCCGTCTCTCAGAGTAAATGGATCCGGAATTGAAACAGCTCGTTCGCGGGTGGCGGGGTGAGATTAACACAGTCGTTGCTCCAAGTCGTTGCGCTGGTTGACAAGTGCTATCGGCCATCGGGTAGGGCAGGGCTGCCATCGGCCGAAGCAGTCGAACCTTTCAATAATTACAAACTGTCCTTCTACAGTAGAGCCTCGTTATAGTGGACATCACCGGCCGAAATGGTCCTTTGTACGATAGTAATACACAATCACGGGCTTCGAGGGGGTATGCCGGATCATACGGGGTTGCTTATGGGTTTGCAGCCCTCTCGAGCAGTTTTCGGATGACGGCCCCTGTTGTCCACACATGCAGGCGGGCACGGTTGCTCCTCGCACCACTCCGAGGTTCGCGCTCTCACCAGACTTGCGCGAGCCCTGAGAAAACGAACGCAAGGGTCATGTACGCATGTTGACCTCCGGGATCGAGACCTCCGGCTTCCTTTAGAAGCTTCGAATACAAAGTATATGCCTCAAATCGCCTCGGCGACTGCTGTTCCGAATGATTGTCGGTCTTTGCTTCGCATATAATCAGATCCGGCGCGCTCCCCTCGGATTGACGTCACCTCCGTGACGGGACCCACACCCGATGGGGTCTATGCCTGAAAGCAATGACGTGTTTCTACGGGAAAAGGACTGTTTGAACAGAACGACCGTCCCGAAAAACCTTGACACTTGATTTGACTTGACTTGAGCGCAGGTCAATTTGAGCGCAGCTCCAATTTAGGCGTAGCTCCAATTTGAGCGCAGATCCGATTTGAGCGCGGGTCCGATTTGAGCGCATCCTCTTTTAGCGTATACGATTAAGGCGCGATCAATTTGAGCGCAGTCGATCCAGTGCACACCGTTTGGCTGCGAACCATTCGGGCGCGAACCGCTTGGGCGCAAGTCCATCTGGGCGCAAGCCGTTTGGGCGTCTGCATACGAGCCTGAGAACTTCGGGTCAAAGATCAGAGCGCGAAGATCACGCTTTCCAATGATACGGTGAAGAAACGTATCAAGGTGAGGCTGAGCGAGACTTGGTCGGAATCGATGAGATCCAAATCAAGCTTGGAGTTCTACAGAGAATGGAAGGAGAGAGGCATGACTGCACGCGGTTTGTACACAAACGGCCGGGGTTGCGCACTGTTGGCATTGGCCCGTGCGGGAATGCTACCTCCGCGAGCCCACCGCACGAAATGCGAATCCACTGACCCACATTATACAAGATGCGGCGGTCAAATAGAAACCATACCACACATAATACTGAAATGTGGCTCGCATCATCACGAGGCGGAAGCGCTCGCCAGAAGACTGGGCTTCACTGGAGTGGGTGATGATGGGGAATGGGAGGATACGAAGAAAGTGCTCGAGAAGACCCGAAGGATCCGCTGAGGAAACTCGCCCCTGGACGAGGGTCGCTCATGTAGACAATGAAAACGTGTAGACATTAGCGAGGATCAATTATAACAGAAACCATAACATCCACCAGAGCGGGCAAAGTTGTTGAAGTCTTTGCGGCTGATTCCAGAAGATTGAACTCCGTACTTCAAAATCATGTGGAATGCTTTCTTGAACAGTTTTCGGGGAATCTGACTATAAATGAGTAATGTCCGATGCCGTATTTTCCTCCATCCGTCACACACAGCGTCGATCTTCTCATCCATACCCCCAGCTATTTCCGGGGAGCCGTTCGGTTGCTCGCTTGTCCAACGGGAAGCAATGCTCATAGGCATATGATTCACGCTGAAGTCTTCTGTGACAAAGTCAGCGATGCTTCAGCCGACGAAGCGAGAGGCCGGAGGATATTTCCACGTTCATGAGATATTACATCATCGTCGCTGAGAGACAGCTACCCTCCATCAGTCGTTGCCAGAACGGGCCTCGAGAAATCGGGCCGACTTCTGCGAAAACAAGGAGGCGGGCTCCTCTGACGAACGAACGATGAATTTTCTGAACGGAGATGGCACATGCTTTTGCACTGTAGGATATTGTCCGCACTGGGAGAATCCCTCCATGTGAAGGTTCCTTCACAATATTCCACTGCGATTGATCATACGGAGTGATCCCCCAGAGTTCACGAGAACTTTGCATAGCTGCTGGAGACTGCGACCAGACGTCTATCGAGGGTCATATTCAACAAACCGTTAGTGAAGCGGCGTCGGAGTCGGATCCCATATCTCTCAGCTTCCGAATCAATGGGACCTCTCGCCTCTACTTTCTCTCTACAGAAGACAGTTCCGAAGTGCATTCGATGGGCTGACATCATTCAATGCCTGTCGTGCTGGTTCGGACCTTCACTGGACTCCAATAGATCGCCAGAGAATATGTGTGGGAGAAAGAGGCTTCCTCTCGGAAAACGGCAAACTCGTCGAGGTCCTTGTCACATTGATGCAGGGTAACTATGTATGATTACATCTGATCGAAACCAAATGATGGGAAGTTCGATTCATTTTGAGGATCGACGGCAATGTTCCTCGGCCACCGAGTGATCCGTAACCGCGGAGATGTCTCTTTTTCGCAGTCGCATCTGGTTCCCTCAGAGCCGGAGAGCTGCTCTAATACCGGATGCGTGCCACTGGGTACTGGAACGGATTCTCAGATCGGACCATCTTCTCGGTTCAGGAGTCTGCTTGATCAAGAGTTGATAGAAGTCATCGGCTGACACTGCCTCATCATAGTATACTTTGGATGCGTATAAGCGCTTATCGGTGCCTATTCCACTACGCTATCTGAAGATTGGAGATTCCGCCTTCTAAACTTTATTGAGTCTGCCCGCCGACACAGGACGGCGGAACGTCCGTCGGAGTGAACTCCACATCAGGAAGAATGACCAAGCGGGAGTGGTTTCCCCGAGCCCTCTCCGTTTCAGCAAGCGATCTTGCAGCCTGCAGACTCTATCGCTGCTTGCAAACAGATCGAACTCGCCGCACAACACAGGAACCTGCAGTATATCCCTCGCCTGAGTCGGATTTTCGAGTGAAGAATCGCGAGCTGATGCTTTTCCGACTCGGCTTCCACGAAGGACAGCTGCCAAATCGAGTATGCAGGGATCTATGACGAGAAATTCGTCATTCCTCGCAAGAGTCTCTACTCTTAAATCTGATCAGGCACACTACCTCCTGACAGCTACCGCGATCTCCCCTCCTCTCCTTCCGCGTTGTGCCCCACCCTCGAATGAGCGGGCATGCTGAGTCTATCACAAAGGAGCCGCAGCTCTCGATCCACTCCG